CCCTTGGATGAATGCTCCTGGTTCTCGGCATTCAGGTTCAGACCTGGGCTTTCAGCATCAGCTCTCTGGTCCTCAGGCCTTCAGGCTCAGGCTGAATGACACCGATGGCTTTCCCCGACCTCCAGCTTACAGATGGCCGGCTGCCAGTGGGAATTCTCAGCCTCCATAAGTAAACCAATTCTTATAATCAATCTCCACATACGTATATGGAGATATACGTATCTCTGTATCTATCTGATTGGCAAGCATGGCTCACTGCAGTCCAATAGCTAATTGACTTAGTGTGAATACCTCTCTTTAAGATTCATTTGTTGCAGCTCATTTGTCATTTTATTTATTTGGTTCCCACAGCGAACTCAACGAGAATGGGGCTTTCTATTTACCTAGTGAATTAGGTAACTGCACTAATAAGTCTTCATCGAGTGGTATTTTCTGGCTTTTCCTGAGCAGTCCTGACTTTAGAAATTCGCGTCATTTTATTCCATAAATTAACAATCAAGTTGTCTTAGAAATTTCAGTATTTCAGGGTCTAAACTCATCATCAGACAGAAAGAAACAAAACGTATTGCCTGACCGCGTGGTTTGATGAAATTTGAGAATATGGTTCCTGTGGAACTACCTGGATGCCTCACTGGCCCTTAACCTGGCTGTGATACCGAGGGAAGCTCCTGCCCTCTTTCTTTCTGCACAGCAAGAAACAAACACAGAGAGATGACCCAGGGACAGGAGGAAAGACGAGCTGAGGTTTTCAAGGTGGGAGTTACAACAGGAACTCTTGCTCTGACGGGTGTGGCTCAGCTGGTGGGAGTGTCATCCCATAAACCAAAAGGTCGTGGGTTTGATCCCCAATCAGGGCACATGCCCAGGTTGCGGGTTTAGTTCCTTGTCGGGGCAGTTGGGGGTGCGTACAAGAGGCAACTGATCAGTGTTTCTCTCTCACGTCAATGTTTCTCTCCCTCTCTCTTTCTCCTCTGACCTCTCTCTAAAATCAATTAAGCATGCCCTTGGGTGAGGATAAAAAAATACCCAGTATCTCTTTTTTGGAGACACAGATTACAAATGCATTTTTAATGTATGTGTCTGTTTCCCTGGAAATGAAAAAAGAAAAAGCAGGCATTCATCACTCTGTTAATAACGACCATCGCTCACTCTTATGAAATCGTTTCTTGTCTAGGGAAGACAGAGATGTCATGTGCCATGTTTATTTGTATCTGTTTTCTGCTGAGCTGGGGCCTGCGTGTAACCAGCGGCGCTGTTCCCCGGTGCATTTTGCTTACAGCGGCATTATAATAAGTGGAAGGGCCCTTTTTGGGTTCCAGTTCCTATTTATTTATGTGCCACTTATGGTTTCCATCTAGGACTTTTCAGGTTCTGCTGATTTAGAAGTAAATGCCGTGTTCGACTATTCTAGTGTCCCAAATAAAAATATTTCCTTCAAAAATATCTGTGAACCCGAGCCAATTTTCATGACACCAGAACATCTTGAAGAAAATTTAAATGAGCTCACTTGAATAATTAGGGTGTGAATTTTTTTCCTGGCATTTTTTTTTTTTTGAGCCTGACAAGCCAGCCCATGACTGTCTGCCGATATTTACAAGTGGAAATAACAATGTGCTCAGAGGCCCAAATAGTGGGTACCCCAAATTTAACATTTTGAGTAGTGTCCTGAATTTCCTATTCCAGTTGAAAGATAATATCAGGAAAAAATTTAGATCAAAGAAGCTTTCGTCAAGTACCTTCTTCTTTAGAAGTGGTAAAACTTGGTGGCTTGGAGAACAGGATGTGGGGTTCTTAAACTGCCCCCACAGAGAAAAGGTCGGCAGCAGGGCCTGTTTTCCTTTCTCCGTATTTGCACAACTAACACCCCCTCCCCACACACACACACTGTCATGGTGAGAGGGAGCAGGGAGAGGAATCAGACTCTTTAAAAGTAATCTTTAAAAACACAAGACATGTGGTATTTAGACGAGTGACCCCCGGGCCCTTTAAATTAGAAGCCCTGTTTTGAACAGCGCTCTCGGGGTTGAGGGGCAGACGAGGGGAGAGGCACAGTGGAGCAAACCGGGCACTAAGCACTCTCTCCTCCACATGCTTGCTCTCCCTTTAAGGACCACCGTCACACCTAGGGAGGCATTTGGATCCATGAGGACCAAATGCCTGGGATTCCCCAGTAACAGTCCCATGGCTCCCAAAGGACTAGAGGAAGAAGAGGACATTCACTATCTTGCTGAGCTACAAACCCTCCAAACATTGCTGTAAACCTCATTCTTTCTTATCGTTTGCCTTTCCCATGGGCCATGCTAGTGGGGACCAAGAACAGGTGGGGGGTGGGGTCCCGCGGCCTGCTTGAATCCGTTTAATTTCCAGAGCAGGCAGAGCCCCTCTATTCTCATGTCTGCAAATGCAGCTCTCTCCTTGTGAAGAGTCGAAGAGAAATTAGGCTCAAGACTCCACAGAAAACCCACTAGATTTAAACAGTAAAGGAGTCAAGTCTAGAAACGTTCCCTGTTTCCAGAGTTTGGAAGAACTGATTTGTGCTGGGCTGGATTTCAAAACTGCTATGGACTCGTGACTGACACGTGCTCTCATTTCTCCTCTTTGGAACAGAAGTATCTAGTATAGTCACGTTACCCTGTTCCACCATTGGATGGTGGCAGTATGGAACTTGTCTTGCATGGGTTCACAGGTTTCCAAACCAAGAGACACCTGCAGGAGAAGCCTCCTCCAGATCCGAACCTGATGCAGACGAAGAGATCCCAGACCCACAGCCTTTGCTGTCATGGGATGAAAGCGTAGGGGGAGATGAGTGCCGTGGTGGAAGAGCTATGGATTGCTATGGCCACAGCGCGCTGCAGCACCTAATTTCTAAGGTTCCTGCCAACCATTCTCCTCATTCCCTTCTTGGACTTGAGACTTGCTGTGATGCACAGAATAGTGTAAAAGTAAATAGGATTCCAGAGTGTAGGCCTTAAGGATCCTCAGAGTTTCTGCTTTTGCCATTTTAAGGTATACCTATTCTATAAAGAATTGCGAGTTTGTTTGCTGAATGATGAGAGACACGGGCAGAGAAAGGTCCAGCCAGCCACTGGACATCCCAGCCACCCTAGGTAAGATGCTGGATAAGGGAAGAAAGCCACCCTGGGTCCTCCAGCCCCAGGCAAGCCACTTCAGCCATCAACACTGTGGTTCAGAGACAACTTCTCTCTGCCAAACCCTGCCCAGAATCATGAACAAATACGTGACTGTTGCTTTTTAAATCACTAAGTTTGGGGATAATATATGCAGCAATAAATACCTGAAACACCTGCTTAAACAGTAGACATAGAAAAGTGCAGAACACAGTTACAGACTATACCCGACCAATGATGGGTGGACTTAATAATTTTTTGACTTTACGGCAGTGGGAAAATAATTCCCATACAACCATTCTGCTTTTCCACTTTCAGCATAGTATTTAACAAATTGCATGAGAAATTCGATACTTTATTATAAAATAGGCTTTGGGTTAGATGATCTCACCCAACGGAAGGCTAAAGTGTTCTTTGCTTGCTTAAGGTAAGCTAGGCTGAACTATGACATTTGATATGTGTTATGTGAATTTTCAACCGACAATATTTTCAATTTATAGTGAGTTTTTTGGAATGTAACCCCATCCTAAGTCAAGGAACATCTATAGTAAATTTATTCAATTCTCTAGTATAGCCTTTGTGGGTGTTTGTCTGTTTTTGCCTGTTTTCTAATATATTTTTACTTTAAAATAGTACAGTTGAATAACAGATTTCAAAGCACCAATGAGATCCCTATTACAGGAATACCTTGGAGATACTGCAAGCTTGGTCCCAGACCACTGCTATTGATGAGTATCTCAATAAAGCAGGTCCTAATCTTTTTGCTGGTGGAGGGTCTTGACTTTAATTTGTAAAAATGCAACATCTGTAAAGTGCAATAAAGCGAAGTGTGATAAAAATGAGGTATGCCTAGATAGGTTTAAAGACACCATATTTTGTGTATAAAGAGACAAAACATTTCATCCTTGACCTGTCGAGGACCTTGAATTATAGGTCCTCTGCCTGGCTAGAATGGCCTGGATAGCTCAGGGCTATCACGGTCACACCGGTATAAAGGGAAACACCCTAAAGATGACCAGAAGAATTTCCTTATCTCTAGGACGTGTCAGTTAGAAAGTATTTAGATCATTTAGTCAGTTTCCTAAAGGTTGTTCTTGTAATTAGAACTAGCACTTTTCTTTCTTTTTCCTATTCACCAAATATGACCGAGTCAAGAACATACAACTAATTAAAAAGCATACATGGCCAGTTATAAAAATAGTCACAGGGACATCCAGTACAGCAGAGGGAATACAGTCAATAATAATGTAAAGCTGTGTGTGGGGCCACAAGGGAAAGTAGACCTAATGGTGTGATCACTTCATGAGTTATATAAATGTCTAATTACTACACTGTTCACATGAAACCAAAATAATGTTGCATGTCAACATAAATGGAAAAATAAAAAATCAAAGAGGAAGAATATACAACTATACTGGAAAGTTTGACTCTACTATTAAAAAAACCAGGCTCCAGATCCGAACGGCAAATTACAACACCAATTAATCAACCAAATGCCTCAACAAGCAGTGAACGGAATTAGAACTGTCAACACGCACGGTGTGCATAGAAGAGTTGTGGGGCATGCTGTCAACAGGTACCGTGATGTAAATGGTGTCCCCCAAAGCTGCCCAACACAGCAATGCTATGTAGAGAGCCTATGGTACGCAAAGATGAAACATGGCTTTGCCCCTGAAAGCCAAGCATTCTAGCAGGAGCTTAGCAACCCGGGATTAACAACAGCACATACATATAAATGTAGTGATGTACATGTACTACCGGTAATGGCAGACTAAAGAAATGAGCTTGAACTTGGGAAGCGGAGGCAAGAATACTGAGGAGTGTGCCAGGCACATCAGCAAAACCATCACACGCACAGAGGACGCGGCTTACCTGGCACGCCGACGGGTGACTGTGGTTGAGGTCCCAATGGGAAGACACGATGTCAACAGACTTTTGGGCCATGTTGAGTAGATTCATCCAGCCTTGGAAAAGCGACAAGTGAAATGGTGCATTTTCTGAATAGTTAAGGCCTTCAGGAATATTTTCCACCAGGGCGATTCTTAGAAAAGATTTTGAAAAACAAACAAACAACATCTAGTCAAATTGGAAGCCACGGATCTTTATACATGCATGCAGTCACATCTGAAAAATATTCTTTATTCCTTCTGGGTGTATACATTTCTCATAATTTACAGTTGCCACTGAAGTCTTTTTAAGCATTTTCCCTATACTAATCTACCGTGTTCTAAGAGTTTATGCTGTGTTTTTCCCAGTTAATATTCTTAGTTCATAAAACCATGGTATTTGTCCCTAATGTCCAGTTTTAAATTAGCCTTGAAAAAATTCAGAGCTTCCTACACAAGCATCTTCCTCTAATAATATATTTCTAATAATACGTTATTAGAAGAATATGTTATTCCTCTAATATTAATATTTCTTTTTCCCTCTAGTAATGCATCTCTTATGTAAGATACTACTTCTGTGAGCGACTTGAGACCATAAAGTAAGTTACGTACATTTCCAGCTTCTAACGCAATGTTGGGCATATATTAGAACTAGCTCATAAGCTACACTATTGTTAGTTTCATTACTATTAGAAAATACAAACAACAAATGTTATGTTTACTGCTTAACATCTCTATTGATGTTTTCCAGCCTAAGGCATACAATGATACTGAGAAGGAAATTTTAAAACCTGCCTGTTGCAGGACTTTATTAAACATGGAGATAAGGAATGTAGAAAATGCCAGCAATAATCAGGCCCTAAATAAACTACAGTGAGTGATACCCTAATAAATATGTGTTCTCTTTTTCCATGTGCCTGGCTCTCCGTGGTGTAGCAACTGAGGCTGTATGGTTTTTACTTCTGACTTAGCCAGGGAACACCTGTGACATTTTAATAAAGAAACGAACTATGTTTTCAAGTTTAAGAGATGTAAATTCTCCCAAACTCTTGAGGGAGAACTCCAATCTTTCAGAAAGACACCTGTGAGTATTCCCAGAACAGAGACCTGTTTTACTCATGGCTGGGCATCCTCTGTGCCAGGAACATAATGAGAGCTCAAGAAATATAGAGAATGACTTCTGGGTTCCAACATGGAATCTTGCACTTCTTGATAAACCTGTTAACTGTTTCTCTTAATGAGGCAAGTTCCATTTTGCCAGTTTCAGAAACAAAAAACAATGTTCTTAGTCAAATGTCCTTGTGCGCGTCACAGCCAGAATGGGGTTTGGGCACGTGACCCAGACACAGTCACGATTTCGGGGGCCAGTCATCCCTTTCCCCCCGCCCCCCCACCACCAGCAGCAGTTGAATTTAACACTGGTTGAGCACTGACAAGCACAGAACGGGCAAACCATTGTACGGAACACAGAAATGACGATGACAGATCTCCCTAGCAGTCTGGAATTTACAGTCTAGTGAAACAGCCTGCTTCAGATATAAAGATTCAAATTGGAGGCAGACTCTATGAGATGGTGAAACAAAAGCAGGAAGTTTAACTCGAGGGGTATTGCGTCATTCATCTAAAGCGCCACTGGGGCGTGGGCACATAGGAAAAATTAATTCTGCTTGGGACATCTAGAGTTGGAGGAAGTGGGTCTTGCAATGAATCTTCAGGGATGTAATTTTTAGGCTGAGCTGGAAGAGAAAGGTATTCTAGGCAGAGGGGACTGCTTGTAATACACAGCGCATTCAGACATTTGTGAACTGGCGAGCCCAGAGGAGGGTGAGGTAGGGGAGTTAGAGCAGGAGCTCACAATGGCCAAGATCACTGGCGCACCGTAGGGACCGCGCTGTGGAGGTTGTGAGCCGGGAAGAGAGGTCTGGGCTTCATTTCGGTGCCTTTGGGAGCATCCTAGTACATTTTGGGGACCCAAGGCTGACAGCACCCCCGGGCGCTAGTGGAAAGATGAAGGAGACTAGAAGATGACAAGCCAGTGGAGAGCAAAGGCTGTTGCCAGAGCTCCGAAATAAAAACGGGGATTTTCAATGAGATCAACAGGAGTGAAAAGAGGCATGCGCGTCATGAAGATTTGAGAAAGCAAATCTTAAAAGAATGCACGCTTGCTGGGTACGGGAAGCAGGTAACGTAGAAACAGATAAAAGTCAACAATAAGCGAGGTGTTCTTGCAGGGCCGCCGTGTTTTCTCGTAACAGCGCTGCTACAGTCACCTCCAGCGGTATGCTCACATGGCTTCTTGCCCCTCCAAACCATTTTTCCTTACTACAGTTCAGTTAATCGCTTAAAAATGTAAATGTAAGCATTCTGCTGCCTGATTAAAATTTCCTAAGGGATTCTCCACTGTTCTTAGGGTGATGCCCTCTACTACTCCCGACATGGTGGACAGCGTTTACCAGTCTGGCCCTGCCTCTTCACAGCCTCACCGGACTCAAGCACCCTCTTTGACTTCTACATCAAAGCCACGCTAGACCTCTTTCTTCTTCTCCTTCCCTGCTATTTTCTCCAGACTTTGGCATTGCATGTGAATTTTTCTAATCTCCATTCCTACACTGCTCATTGAGCTCTCTCTCAATTAACTTTCGAAGTCCTAATTTAAACATCACTTCCCACAGACTTCCCTACACCCCCAAACTAGGCTAGATCGCCTTATTATCAACCCCCACAGTGCCCTGTTACTCCCCGTCATCCTACTCACCACTCGTGAAATTACTCGGTTGTGATTACCAGCCCGTAGGGTGTATGAACGCAAGGAGCTGCTCCGCAGCTTCAGCAGTGGAGCCCCAGTGCCTAACGTATTGCTCAGGGCCCCGTCAGTATCCAAAGAATATCTGCTCAGTTTCATTAAACTCTGAACAACTGGGAAGACCGAGGCAGTGAGGTGCGTTAAAAATGGCAAGGAGCATGGGAAAGGAAGGAGAGTGAGGATTGGGAGAGATTATTAAAAAAAACGATTCCGAAGTCTAATGTGAGGGGAATGCCTGCGTTTTCTGGGTTGGTAGAGAAATGGGAAGATTCAGATGAGACCGTTTGGGAGTTGGGAGGACAAGAGAGGTCCAAGAGAATGCAGTGTTCGGGGTGCCAAGGGGAGGCAGGGTCAAAAAGGTAGCAAGAGGAGATTTTTTTTTTATCTGCTTCAAAACCTTTGAAGGCAACAGACAGAGGTTGAAGTTGGATTTTTAATTCTACCCCATTTTAAGTCCAGTTTCCTATGTTAATAGAAGCTATACACAGAGTGAAGAAATGACCCCAGGTAACCAGCAACTTCAGCATCGCCTACAACTAATGAATATATGTAACAATCAAACAAAAAAGAATCTCCCCAAACAACCAAAACCAAAACACAACAGCTGCTAGGAAATAGAACTGACTAGTTTCAATTTTCCTTCGATATCAAAGGCATGCAGAGAAAGACAGGAGGAAGCCAATGAAACTCAGTGAGACCAAACGCAGGAAATAAGGGAGGCAGAGCAACTGTGCAATTGTAGACAGATCTGCACCATCATCCCCTGTGGCTTCTGATAGGCATGTAAATAAGGATTCTCTCTTAGAAGGCTTTAAACCAGGAGTCCTTAACCTGTGACCCATGGAATTCAGGGGGGATCTGGAAGCCTGATCTTTATTTTCCCTCATCTCTAGCTGAAATTTAACATCCCTCCAGTTACCAATGTAGGTCACCAAAATCAGAATAGTAGTCATACACATTCTTATAAAAAATTCTCCCCCTTATCGAAGCCTTGGGAGTGGGTAAGATCACCAAGAGAGAGTTTCAAAAGAAGGAAACTGGGTCAAAGCCAAGTACAGGAAACATCTAATCCCTTCTGGGTGGTAGAGAAAGCGGGGCAGGCGGAGAAGATGAGAAGAAAATACTGAAAAGACGGGAGGCAAAGGAGAGTGAAATTCCCCGGGAGCCAAGGAAGACCAAGTTCCTGACTGTTTGGTTTTTACTAAATGTCAGTGTAAATCACGCATTGTAATAAAAATAAAAACAGAGGCCCCGCTCTGAGGAGGAGCACACTTAGGTCTGGGTAATGACTGCTCAGGACGAAGACCCTGCTCGCCCCCTCACTGGCCACCCTCTCCAAGGGCCGGGGGAGCTTGACCGCCCCTCTGTGCCACGGAGCCTGTTTCCTAAGCCCCACTAGGAAAAGCCTCTCGAAATCAGCTTTGAAAAGCCTGGACAACACGTATTTCCATGACCTATCATTTCACTGCCTTTAACAACCTTAACAGCCCGCTTCTCTCCAGGGCAGATCGAATTAGCATCCACGTGGGACTCATTCCCACAGGAGAGCAGCTGGTACGGAAAGGAGTAGGCAGCGCTCATTAAAATTCACCTTCGGGCAAATCCCTGGAATGCCGGAAACCATCTCCGAGAGAACCGTATCCAAAGGCTGTAGCACCATTTCTCATGCCTAATAACAAGGGGGAAAGCTGTATAGAGAGAGACACAATAGAGCAGAACTATTTTCATGCTTTTCATGGTACTTTGAGCAAAACTACAAATGATTCGAACTGTGAGTCCAGGGAGCGTAAGTGGAATAAATAGAAGGAAAAGCATTTTACGTTGCTAGTAGATTTTAAAATAGAATTCTGTTTTTATTAAGTGTATGTATCTATTCTCCAAACTTAATGTGATCATCAACATTTCTCTTTCAATTCAGGGACTATATGCCACCTTTTTTTAAAGATTTTATTTATTTATTTTTAGAGAGGGAAGGGAGGGAGATAGAGAGAGAGAAACATCAATGTGCGGTTGCTAGGGGTCATGGCCTGCAACCCAGGCATGTACCCTGACTGGGAATCAAACCTGTAACACTTTGGTTCACAGCCCACGCTCAATCCACTGAACTACGCCAGCCGGGGCTATATTCCACCTTTTTAAGGAAATACCTGTAGCCTTGGCAGGGTGGCTCAGCTAGTGGGAGTGTCATTCTCTCTATACCAATAGGTCGTGGTCAGGGTGTGTACAGAGGCAACCAATTGCTGTTTCTCTCTCACATTGATGTCTGTCTCTCTCTCAACAACAACAACAGCAAAGCAGAAAACAACAACAACAAATAAAAACAAAAAAAGAGCCCCATATCCTCAGGTGAGG